TTGTTCCTGAAGAAGGTATTTAACTGAGAGCCATGCTAGGCTCAGGGAGACTCTGCTGACCATCTGCCCCGCGGTCATGTAGGCTCTCCACAAGCTTGGTTTTCTGTTCTTTGTGTGTTTGGATTAAAGAATGTTAGCTACCGCTCACCGCTCGTCTGCAGGCTTTATTTAATGGAAAACTTCCACAACAAGGCGTAATAGGAAGTATGTCTGTAATAGGAAGTAGTTCCTTCCAATTTAGATCCGAATGATACCCAAAGTACTAAAATATTGATATTTTAATATGAGAATCGATTCTAGAACATAAATTACTGGTATCGGAAGAATAGATATTTCAATATTGCGCTAGAAATAACATGCCTATCTTAAGCTGGCAGCCAGCGTGTAGAAAGACTTTCTCTGAATTGTTGATATTAACGTCTTAAATGTTCTGATTTTTAATCAAACTGTTCAATAAAAACCAGCAGTCTTTTCGGAAGCTTGTGATTGTTGTTTTCATAAATGTTTATTAATTTTTAATGTCTATTTATTAGAAACCTAAATTAAAATAATGATTAAAAGGCCACTGATGCACCAAGGACTAGAAATCTATGCATGTATAACAAAACTGTTTAGTGAAGATCGAAATGAAGAAACGTTTGTCTTATGTTAAAATCATGCAAAAACTGTTGACTTTATCTGTTCTGTGGAAACATCTATGTGATCTTGCAGACCAAACATTATTACCATGTGATCACAAAGAGAAGCAGAGTGTCTAAACAGATTACCTTCTGGGTTGATCTGAAAGACCTGTTGCTACTTATCTGGGTGTTCATCATGAGATAATTAGTGAAGTCAATGCAGCGCTGTTTCTCTAAGGTACCTATTTGAAATGTGTGTTAAATGATTTCTGTTGCTTAAAACATGATGTGGGTCTGTTTTGCTGCATGACGAGAAAAAGAACCCTGCCATTTTTATGTTGCATCAAAAATGTTTTTATTGTATTTCATCAGTTTGTGTCATTTTAACTGGGCTATATGTGTAAAATTAAATGTATCCTATAATTATTAAGATATATAACAGTTACAATGTATATTTTTTGTGAACTTAAACATTACTTAAAAGTCATGTCAGTATAATCATTTATCATTTTTTATTTTATCTATAAAAGTAAAATAATTACAGTGGAACTGCAGCATTTAACACAGGACCAGACTTACAATCCAAATCTCCCTGTAACTGTGTTGTCATGTGCCATGTGCAGTGTAACAGGATGGCCTTTTGAGGCTGGATTTACAGTGAGGTAGACAAAGACAAGTATAGTTGAACAGGGGGTGTTTATTTACCTACCATACAACTCATAAACAATTCACTGCATCTAATGACAACTGGCAGTCTTAAACACAGCTGTCACAGGCAAATCCATTATTCTATTAACAGGTGAGTTCTCATGAGTTATTTACAAGTTTCTCTTTGTTCACAGCCATTGACATGTCGAAAAGGTTAACTGGTGAACTCAGTAACCGGGTCATTGCAGCAGATTTCAATGCAAGACACCCTGCGAGACCACCCATCTCCCATGCTACAGTTAGCAAACTGCTTGCCAAGTTTCGTGAAACTGGTTCAGTGTTGGATTTGCCAAAATGCACACGTGTCTATGTGTGTGTCGTTACATCTACACTTAGGTTTTGTTGTTCCATAACTGCATGTCACCATTTTTTGTTCTTTGTTATCATAGGGAAAAGAAGGAAAATCATGCTGAAAACTCTGCACACTGATGACATGAACAAAAACCACACAACGGCAGCGAGTACAGACAAACCAGTTGTGATTCCTGTGGAAAAGACTTTTAATACTATGAAGCAAGCCAGAAGACACCAGCGCACTGATAGAGGGGACAGAAGCTTTAGATGTGATCGTTGTGGAAGGTCTTTTACTCAGAAAAGTCACTTAAAACAACATCAGCGCATCCACACTGGATCTAAACCATTCAGCTGTGATCAGTGTGGAA